AAAATTACATATTTTGGGTTTAAACAAACCACAACTCTGAAAATACTAAACAGAAATCATTTGAAGTAAAGTTACATTTATGTTTGAAAATAACCCTTTGACAGAGATTAGAACTCTTAAGTGAGTGTAAAATTTTCATTCAATTTTTAAGTAAAATTACATATTTTGGGTTTAAACAAACCACAACTCTGAAAATACTAAACAGACATCAGTTGACGTAGAGTTACATTTATGTTTGAAAATAACCCTTTGACAGAGATTAGAACTCTTAAGTGAGTGTAAAATTTTCATTCAATTTTTAAGTAAAATTACATATTTTGGGCTTAAACAAACCACAACTCTAAAAATACTAAACAGACATATATTTAAGACCCACAGCCACGAAAAAGTAAGATATTTGACTAAAAATTTGCCCCCCCCCCCCAAAACAAATTATGAAACATATAATTGAAAAAGCACACAAAGTGCAATAGTAATTAATAGTAAACAGTTCAACTGTGTTAGTTGAGCTGATTTAAACACAACTTTCAAATTTTCAATCAGATACCAGGAAGCATGGAAACAGTAGTAACTGACAGAGTATGTGATGAATGCAAAAAATGAAAGAAAGGAACATGTCATGTTTATCGTCTTTGTGATCCATTGCTTTCATGCACTGTACCTACGATGCATGTTAACTACAATAGAAAGCGTAAAAGTAGTCAGTTGTCAAATTAGGAATAACAAAAAAAAAGGTGCAGCCATATCATTTTTGAAGTGCTGGGTCTTAAAAAAAAACATCTTACAGAGATTAGGACTCTGAGTGTAAAGTTATCATTTTAGAAATCAGTCTTAATCGAGTGGTATAATAGTTGTAAAATTAATATTTAAATTATAAGAAATAATGGAGGGTCATCAGGTATCTTAATTTATAAGTTAAAATCAGTAAAATAATTAAATAGGGTACTAGAAAGAAAAAAATGCTTAGAAATGGGCAACATTTTTTTCAGAGATGAGTGATGTCATCGGCAAGATGATATTTGGTTCAATTTTTGAAGGACATCACATTTTTGTTGTATATGTGTTCATTCTTCCAACACTTTATTTTAACTGTTTTTTACTAATTTTTGTGTCATTAGAAAGCTCTTGTTGCATCATGTTTACATATATTTAATAAATGGGAAAGGGAAGTCAGACTCACTTTATTTTGAACTGTTGTACTCAGTTTATTTTAATACCATAAATTAATCAATATAAGATTCCAGCATTCATCTTAGGTTTATTTCCATGTTTTGATACAGAAGAGCCATCTGGTAAAGAAGGTTCAACATGTCAATCTGTTACTAAACTCATCAGGTCCTACCATAGTGACAAGTCTACCAAGTCATACAGCAAAGACAGACTTGTAAGATCTTTTAACAAGGATCAGTTCACGAAGCCTAATGATGTCCACGTAGAGCTGCTTGCCTCTTACAGTTTTGGCAAACCCATGAAATCAGGTAGCGATGCAGACACTGGTGAATCCTTGCCTGCAGAAAAACTCCCCCGTGAAAGTGTTCTTACTGCTAAACAGGTACTGAATGATAATAATAAATTAATTATACTGATATTATATTGTAATAAGATAAAAATGTTAATGCTGTTTTAGAACTTTGGTTACTACCATTTACTTGAATTATGAGATTATATTAGAAATGGTAATATTAATAAGAACCAAAAAACTTTTAACAAGCTCTTTTATGTGGTTTCTTCTAATAATCACTAACAATAGCCAGTGGTGTTACTTCAATCTCTGAGGAACTTTATTTTAAAGAGTATATTGATAATAATCATTTTAAACTTTTAAACTTATTCTGGAGGAATCTCTTATCTGATATAAACTTCTTATTAACATTTGTTGCAGTTACTTGGAGTCTGCTTTTCTGGTCCTTCCCTTCCACTTGTTTCTAATCTGTATCAGAACTACATCCACACTACATTTCCGTATATCCTTTCTCACTACATCCATTTACTTTTTATTGGTCTTACTAATGTCATTTTCCTTTCCACTGTCATATTTATCATTCTCCTACAACTGACTGCCTGCCTGATGTCAACCCTTCTCCATCTGTAACTGGGCTTGGCATCAGCTTTGGTATTGTTCTGTCTAGTACAAATTTGCAAGTGATAAAGATTTAAATACATCAGTAAAATTCCATTATTAAACAACATATAATAAGTAACCAACTTTATGTTCCATTAATTTTTGAGAATTGGGACAAGTTCTAATAATAATTATTTGTATATTATATTAAACATGAGACTAAAAGAATAAAATACTAATATTAACTGTATTATTCATATTCAGTGATATTGTTAAAACAGGGGATTAATGTTAACCAACTTTGTGTTACATCAGACTTTGTAAAACAACATCATGCTGATGGTAAACAGTTTTTCATCAGACTGTATGAAGATGGTAACTTTGAGCAGCAATATACTATTATATCATTAACCAGATTTATACAGGGTGGTACAAAAGTCTCGGTGAATAGGGATTTTAAATAACAATAGAAAAACATAATTACCTTTCTGTTTATTAAAATAAATGTTCGAATTGCTGGCCATTAACTTTGAATCAATAAGTGCTTCGAAGTTAATTTCCAGCAATTCGAACATTTACTGTAATAAACAAAAGTAATTTCACTGTTATTCAAAATAACGGTGGAGCATGACTTTTGTGCCCCCTATATGTTTCATGTGATAGTAAAGTAGTATTTTTACATACGATCAGGATCTGCAAACATTTGTTAAAAAAATAGTAAGTCTGTTGCTCAGTCTCTGGGTATTATTATTAAAACACAAGCAATGTAACATTAGACTGTGCACTGCTGCTACTCCATACTTTTATTTTTGATATTCAAATTTGTTTAATTTTTTTTTGCCTTTTTCTTATGTTTTAGTTTTTTTTGTCAATATTCTATCCTGTACAATCTCAAAATCTTTTGAGCAGTTTTGTTACATGTACCTTTAATATTAACTTGTGTTAATCTAGTGTGTATGAAGGAATGGTTTCAAGGCTGTATACTGACCTCACCATGTCTGTTTGGCCTTTCCTTCATACAAAAAAAGTACCATATTTTATTTCTCTTAGCATAGCAAGGTAAACTGTTTAGTTTATTGAAATCTGTAAACATTTTTCAGAAATGTGTGGTTTTAGTGTTTACAGACTTTTGCATATTGGAAATCTACCTTGTGCTATACTGACCTTGTTTCACATGCTACTTACACACAGTCAAGGCAAGTGTCTCATTTGGGTATTTTTGGACCTTCTAGCAACATTGCCTTGTCTTTAGTTTAGAAATCTTGTTACTTAAGACAACCAGTTATGTGGATGTTGAATTCATAGTTAGAAGGATTGCGTTATTATTTTTGTGTGTATAATGTCATACTCTCAGTCCAGAACAGAATATCTGTAAAAATGGTAGAAAAGTTAAGCCTTTCTTTCTGTTATCTATAAGTGCCATTTTTCATCCAGATAACTTGTCTGCTTTGATCAAATAAAAATTGCTTTTGATTTTGTTTTAACATTGTGTTCAATCTTTTTTCTTGCTTTAAACTCAGAGAAGTACGGTTTAACTCTGTGGTCAATTTCATGGTCACACTAATTAATGTTCCCCAGTCAATTTCCTATGATAAACTTTCCAACAGTAACAGTTCTCTGTATAATAGTTTGACAGATGGTAGATTGTTGTTAATTTTATATATATATATATTTTTGGCACTTTTTGCTCTATTTTTGTATTTTCATTTTGGCATCTTAAGTATTTTTTTACATTATTCTGTAGGATTTTCTTTTAGAACCTTGTTAAAATAAACTCCAGATATTTGAAAGAACAATGACTGTGAGGATATTTAGAGACCATTTAAAGAATTGGAATATTGTTGCATTACAGACTGATGAAGCAAAACAAAAGTCATTTTCAAAACATGACTGTCAGATGGAAGTTAAAAAAACTGACCAAGAAATACTAGAAGGTTCAGAAGAGAAAGAAGTCATTGTAGAGCAACCAAAATCAGCAGCTGTCGGAATGATTAAAATGGTAAGTATACACAGGACCCTTATAATGAGTGATTCTTAAAGATGGAGCTGCAAGACCCAAAAACTGTGGTTGACCCATTAAGGAATATATCTCATCATTCTATTGTACAATACCTGTCACATTTTTGTTGTTGCAGCATACTGTGACAGATTCCACATTGGTTCTTAGGCCAGCACTGGTAGTAGGAATGATGAAAGTGGTATTTATCCATATAACTCTTGCATCAGTAAAACACTGAGTGAAGCTTTTGGTATTTGTGTTTGTTTTTATTCTGTTATCTTTAACAGTTAAAACCATATGCTTCAAAAAAGTAAAAATGCATGATATTAGTATTAAGTAAAATATTTACTGTTTAATACAGCAGTAACTTGTGTATTTTAAATGCTTACCCAACAACTAAAACTTTATTCTGCATCAAAATAGTGTTTATGTTGCTGTAAAATCATGACAGAATATTTGTGCTTTCCATACGTGTGTACTGTCTTTGTGATCAAGAAGAGCATTAGTTAAAATACTAACTCTCAACCTAAATATAAAATCCTGTACATACGTGACAAAATGACTATCTACTGCAAGGTTCTAAACAGTTAATTATTTTAATCATAAAAATAATGCTGGAAAATTGCTATTTGATCTACCTGTATAGATCGACTGATCTTAAGTAACTTTATTAGGTCACATTGAGAAAATGTGATCTTTAATTTATTTGCTTTATTATTCAATCACAGAAGTTTCAAATTTTGTAACAGTAATTCCCATAATTTGTGGTAATAAAATACAAATTTAAATATTTCTTACTGGATTTTAAATAAATGTGACACTTAAGATTTCAGTTCTGAAAATATATTTTTTATCAACTCTTTTTACTTTCTAGCCACCACATTTGGGTTGGATCCTTCCAACAACTACATCTCAGTTGTCCTTTTCAAAACTATGGCCTGTTCAGCAACTTCAGAAAGTTATCCCAAGCTCACAACCTCAGTGTTGCCCAAGGCTTTCTTACAACTATGGTGCAACAGAATTGTCAGGGCAACAGTTTGCTTCTTCAGAGTGTGATCCGTGTGTGTCGACCTCCAACAATCTTTTGGATGATTCTGGTACAGTTCAGATGTTGTAGTAATGTAAATCTTAAAGTAAAGCTAACTCAGTTTATAAAATTTCCTTCATAAAATGTAAGATATATTTTATAACTTTTCTGAATTGCATGCATATGTCTTCTGTTCACATTGATCAATTCTCATAGTGATAATGATAAAATAACAATAAATAATCTACATTACAAATAAAATAAATAACATTGTGTTATTAATCCTTACCCTAAAAATCTGATTTGTAAATGACTTCAGTGAAAACTAATAATAATTGCAATTTACTTACTTAACCTAGTTCATACCTTAACAGTCGTTCTACACGATACCTAATGATATAAGTAGTGCCTAGACCACTACTATGTTTGTCATATTTTAAGCACCCCAATGAGCTACAGTGTTGGGCAAAAGGCCTCGTCAGCACTGGATATGGCAAACGTAGTATGGTTGGGATAACATATTCTTGTTTACTTTTATAAGTTCTCAGCATTGATTATGCTCAATGGGCAATGTATGATACTAATTATCATTAGTCAAGTAGATTTGAATGAGATTCTGGGCGTAAGTTGTGTTTGTCTATTTGTTTGTTCACGTAGTAATTACAGTAAATGTATAAATAAGACAAAACACTTGAGAATTAGTCAAAAAAATTTCTCTTATGCATCTTCAAAATACATTATTATACTTTTGTTTTGAAAAGGTTACAATCAAAGCAAATACTTTTTTGTACATTTGCTGTCAAAAACCATACCTAAGAAAATTGTGATTGTATTAATTTAGTATTTGTTAATTTTGGAATAAATAAAAAGATACAGGGCCATGACCTGTACTTATATGCACTGACACTATGTACTTTCAAACAGTTAAACCTTGTCAGTTGCTAACCTGTCAGCTGTGGAACAGACATATGCCAGCAACTTGTATCTGTTAAATACTGTACTAAATTAGAACATGACATAATGTGATGTCAGTTCCAATTCTACAGGTTTGAATTATATTTGTTTTCCTATAAACTTTATTTTTAGCTGTTGCATGCAATTTTTTTTTTTGGCAAAGTCAAAATGATTTTATTCTTTACTTCTCTAGGTGTTTGTGGTCTTCCTAATCCCTTAGAACCTGAAAAGGTACAGCAATCAAACTGTGAAGCTGTGAAAGAGACCATCAATAATGGATACTTGAAGGCCAAGTGTGATGTTAATGACACTATGAAAAATAATCAAAATTTCATTGATGATGTTATTCAAAGCCAGTTCAGAGAATTCATTAAATCAGAAGCTTCATGTATGCCAAACAGGTATTTTTTTAGATTTTCTTCCTTCCCAAATAGCAGCTTAAAAGAAGATATAAGTATAGGTTGTATTAAACCAATAATAACAGCACCATAGGTGTTATTTCTCTATTTATAGCTTTCTCAGCAAGCAAGACTTTTAATACACATTAGCTAATAAAATCAGCAGTTAGTATTGGCAGCTATATTTTTTATGTTCTTAAAAATATTTTTAGACAATTCTTTAGGAATTTTATGGTTGGTGTTTAGTTGATAACTATAATATGAAAAATTTAACATTATAGTTTAACTGCTTTGTTATACATATAAAACCAATCTGAATATTACCAAAAACCGATTACTAAAAATGTTATCATAATTAACAACATTTTTGCTATAACTATTTATTGCTACTCATACATGATGGTAGGAAGACACTAGGTTCAGTTGTCTCCTTCGTGTCAGGTGTTGTTATTTATTTTTTTGTTGTTGTATTTTAATTTGGGCAAATAATTATAAATATGGTGAAAAAATGGTTTGCCTGAATTATCTCAGGCAAATCATGAAAGGGTTAAGCACAAAAATATGAAACCCTATAACTGTGGCTTTTTCAAATGTGGACCTTTCTTCATCAGGGGGCAAACTTCCCAGTTTTTGAAAGTGCTCGGGATATAGAGTTTCATATTATTGCTACCCTTAAAAATTCACAGCATTTATAGCTAAATTGTTTTCTCTAGACTAAACTTTTTCTGCCATTTATAATAACAGAACTTAAAGTAAGTGAAAGGATTAATATTACTAAAATTTTCATCATAGCAAAGAGCGGGAGAAGAGTATGATTTTTATACCTTGCCCTATTTGTCAAATCAATGTGGGAGGTGAGTCAGGCACTACTGACTTGTTGATGACCCATTTATTAGAAGAACACCAACAAAGAACATGTCCAGTTTGTGGCCAGATGTTTCACACCTCCTTGCCTTTGGACTACCTTCAGTTCCATATTCAGAATCACTTTCAGGAAGAAGACTTGAGCTATGAGAATATCTAAATGACCCCAAGCTTCATCAGACTATTCCTTCCTTACTTTTAGATTAAACTTTTTTTTTTTTAGTGTTAATGTCTTGTTGAGCAATAAGTGTGGCTAAAAAACCCTTAATCTTTTGTCAAATTATTTCTTTCTTCATTTTAGATTTAAAATTTTTTTGTAATAGTGATGTATAGTATAGTTGCGAAAATTGAGAGAAAAAAAAGGGGTAGGATGGAAAGGATCTTCGGTGTGAGGTAGCAAAACAACTAGGGGGAGGGTCTGGGAGGTGCCCTCCCCGGGGTACAGAAATGTTATCATTTTAACCTTAAATCTGCACATTCTGAGATGCTCTTTTATGCAAAATTAAAGCAGAATAATTATGTTTTCCTGATAAAATCACGGCAACGTGTTTTTCAAAACGTACATGATTTGCCCTGTTTTGAAGGGTGAATGCACCGAAATACCTTCAACCATGATACATTGAATGAATTGTCATATCTAACACGTTGTTTTCCCTTGTCCTTTCCTCTACTGTCAGCCATGATGACTGAAGAAATCTCAATTGAGTTTGTCATCTTTAGCTTCGTCTTCATGTGTTAGGCTAGCACTAGGCGACACTGTGTGTGTACATAAATGGGACAGCATTTGTAATTTGCTGCTGTGTACTTTGAATAGTAGCTGTCATCAATCAAATGCAGTGAGTTTACGAATATGATTTTTCACACAGCATAGAGGGAAGCCGCCTGAAGGGTGACAGAAACCTTGTCACAACATGAAAATCAATCAATAACTTCAGTGAGACATGTTAATTTTTGAAAGTGGTATTTTTTGCTATTATTGGGCAATCAAATTGGTAGGCTGTTCAAATATACAAAAAAAGCTGTGGTTTGCCACCAAAAGTGGTAAAGTTGGCAACTATGGTACAATGTAGCCCCGTTATAATGCATTTGTTGAGGTCCATAAAATTTCATCACAAAACAAGCGGGGTCAAGCTAAATCTCGGTTTTGTAGAGATGCACTTAAAATATTAAAAGTTATTAGTATGTAAACTGTAACAAGGTTATGGTTACGAAGTTGGTCCCAAGGACTGAGCCCGTGTTGAAAGAGTTAATGACTCATTGCGTTATATCCAAATTCACGTAAAATCGGGGTTTCACTGTATAATGTTTAAGTAATGAAGCAGAAGAATAGATTAATTTAATAAAATTCTGTTGTACTCTTAAAAACTATCTTGTAAATTAACAGCAATGATTCAGTGAAGATTTTGTGGTATTATTTCTAGTGCTTAGTGTCAAGTTCTATGTGAATCAAAGGAAGACACTATAAATTGGTTTAGTTTGTCATTATGAATACAAAGATTTCTTTATGCTTCAGTATCCCTAGGTTTAGGCAGTAATAATTCTTTTAATGTTACTTTAAAGTTTTATTTTATTTTGTAGAATTTTTCAGTAGTACTTTAATAATTTGTGTAAAAGTTTTTGGATAAAACTACACTAAGAACATAAAAACTGTTACCTTAGGTGTTTAGTTGATGTGAAACCTTTTTGGTTTTAGGATAAATATCTTTCTTACAGTAACTAAAAGTCGCCTCATTATTACTATTCTTCATAACAAATTCTGTATTTAATAATTTATTATTGTTTTTGAGTCTATAATCTATACCTGCTACTGTAATTCTTTAATTGAATCTTCTCTATAAAATCAATTTTTTTCTGCTTATCATTGTTGTTTAAGATCATTTTCTCACATGATTTCATATTTCTGTCTTAATTCTCCCAAACATTCATACAAAGGTATTATTTTCTGTGTAGCTTTTACGTTTGTTATCACTCTTTCCTTAAATCCTTACTTCTGTCACTGTTTTATTGGAAGGTTATGTTTCTACCTTTTGTTATTCATGGAAGCCATAATTCTATCATTGTTCTTCTTTGGGATCATAATTCTGTCTTTGTTGTTGCTGGAAGCCATACTTCTGTCATTATTCTCCTTAGCGATCATGATTCTGTCCTTGTTGTTCCTGGAAGCCATTCTTCTGTCATCGTTCTTCTTGGGGATCATGATTCTGTCCTTGTTGTTCCTGGAAGCCACACTTCTGTTATTGTTCTCCTTGGAGATCATGTTTCCGTCCCTGTTGTTCTTGGAAGACATACTTCTGTCATTGTTCTACCTAGATTTGATACAGCCATACCTGTTCTCTATAAAATCATTTCTGTTACTTTTTCTCTGAGCACTCTGTAATTCATTTTCTTTTTCTCTGGAGTTAACATTTTTCAGGAATGTTCATTTTTGTCAGAAATATACCTGCATCAAAAGCTTATTGATTTTACTGCTTTCTTTTCGTAACTAGACTTTAGTACTGTGATAAGGTAATCAGGTTTTCGAGTTTTAAGATACAAGAAACAATAAAACGTTGAATTAATTTGAGCATGTGATATAATCTGCAGCAGAATAAATAAATGGATGTATTTTTGCAGTTGTCTTGCAAAAAAAAAAAGACTTTTAAGTGTGCGATTGCTGTATTAATAAGTATTGTAATTAAATCTCAGTTCCTAGTTTTAAAACATGCTTTGTTTTATTATCAATTATCTACTCAACCTGAGTAAAATATTGGAAGTAAGTTGTGAAATTTGACAAACTTATAAATAAAAAAAAAGGAATTTTGAATGTGGTAACTTGCCCATGGTTATTCAGCTTAGAAATAATTACATGTGAATAAAGGCAAAAACAAAGGGCTTTCCATTTGCTTGTTACTGTTCCTGACATTGATCTTAACAATTCAGATTTAAAGTGGCAAGTTTTAGTAACAGTCTCATTTCTGGACTGACTGTATGAAACTATCAACCAACAATGAATGTTATTTGATTTCCAAATAGAAACTTACCTAGTTAAACATACTATTAACAAAGTGTAAACTTCACATATCAAATATACAACTGGACTGTTATTTTAATTTTAGAAGGTTTGAAGCCCACATTAAATATGTATATTTCATGTTCTGCAGTTTAATTTTTTTTTTAGAGACATTTAATCTTGAGTTTGTATATTTTATATCATGATTCAAAGGAATATGATTAAATTAAAGATTTTTTAATAGAATGGTGATACATCCTAAAAGCACAGAGGTTTGATATAGTTATTCTGACTTATTTTTATTTGGCGTAATATTTACTTACAACATAAGATTTTTTTAACATGGTGTGGGTGATGACATTTTATAAGGGTTTAATTTTTGTGTATTTGTTTATAGTTGGCTTCATGAGGTTTTAATTTTTTCTTCCCCCAAATGTAAATATGAGTAGGTTTTTTGTCCATAGTCATCTGTTTTGTACATTTAACATCCCAGTTACTGTTCGTAAAACTGCATGACACACTTGCAGAATTTTGGCACTTCCATAACTGGAAAAATTTTGTATTGGTTACCAAAACGTGTACTAGTAGTTTTGGCCAGAACAGAAACACTTGAAAAAAGAAAAATAACAAATTTTCAGATTTAACATCCGATGCTTTTTTTTTGTATTCTTTCACACTCAACTCACATTTTAAACAGCCTTACAACCTGATTTATTCTACAAGCCTACAACCAGTGATGATCATATACATGTTGGCAAAGCCAGAGAGGAAAAATTTTTTTTATCAATATTCAAACATTTTTATTACTGGCAAAGTTATTATTATAAAATATTGAGTGTAATACCCAAACTTGTATTAACCCTAATCTAGTTCATTATTTAGGCTAAAGTTAGATCACGCAAACTAGATGATGTTTGACTTTTAGCTAGTGTTTGGCAGTTGTTACTAACAAATATAGTAATCGGTAACATTTATTAAAGTGTTGGTTGCCTTGATTGTTACTGTGGGTTATTTAATACACTTCTGTGAAAGCAAGACTACAATTTTTTTTCATGATTGTTTAGTATGCGGAAGTGATTCTTGAGATATCACATTATAGGTTATTTATCAATCTGTCTGCCTTAAAATACAAAACTTTTTCTGAAATCTAGAAAACGATAATGCTATTTTAAAATTATTTTATACACAACTTACGCAAAACCCATTGCTTTATAACTGATAGATATTACTTTTCAGATATTTAAGTTTTTATTGCTGACATTAGTCAGTAAGTATAGTGTACTAAGTTACTTGTTAAATAACTTACCACGTTTTTTTTTCAATTTGGATATTATGATACAGTACAGATTATTTTAACACAAACGTATGGTTTTGTGATGAAACTTCAGTTTTTCTTTATAAACATAATTTAAACCTAAGTTGTAGTTACACTGTACATAATACTAGTTCTAGTATGAATTAAATTGCATGATAACTGATTTTCCTTACAGTTGAGTATGAGATATATTAGTGCATGTAGATGTTCCAAAACTGTCAATACGTTTAATATGGTTAGCATAATTTAAGTTGCTTAGTAGCAGTATATGGTTCAGTTATGGTTGTAACTTTATGAAATTATATTTATTTATTTTTTTCATACTTGTAATGAAATGTCAAACTAAAAGATAGTTTAGATGCAAAAATTCTTTTTGGCCTAATTTTGCAATGGTACAGTAAGTTACTTAATATTATGTGTTTTACATTTATTAAAACATGTGGTAATAAACATGCAAAACTCTCCTTGTTGTTTGGAAAATCATAATTTTATATCATTAACCATTTATGTAAATTTCAGTGCTACATTACTCAAGTCTACAAGTTTTATTTGTCAGATTACAAAACCTCCACATAAAAATTTGGTATATGGGTTTTGTGACATAAATGAAGCTGATTATTATGTTCATCACATATAATGAAATTATTTTATGAAATTACTTTTTACTTCTCCAAGTTGGTGTAGCTCATGTTCTTTACTTGTATATAAGCTTCTTATTTTAGCCGTGATCTACCAATATGCTTAACTTGAGACAGCTTCAGTGAGTAATGTTATGCTCTATATTTAATTTTATTGCAGTCTTGAGGTAACTAACAAGTTCTGTGGGCTTGTCAAAGGTAATTTCATGCATAGTACACAGTATTAGTGACAGGTTCATATCTGCAGATGTATTTAAACATATGTATTGAAGATACTTTTCTAAATATAATGAACTAAGTTTAAACGAGTGTGGTAACTTAGGATTTTTTTTCATCTTTTAGTGTAACTAAATTTCACATTTTTATCTTTATACAATGCAAGTCGGTATGAATTACATATGCATGCTCTTTTTACTTTGGTATTCTAAAAAAAAATGTTATAGGAAAGGCTAGAGACAAGGGAGCTAAAAGTTCTTTATTTAACAAAAAAAATGTGTTCCTGAACATGAACACCACAGAGAAGCTCGAGTAGACATTGTATCAAAATTATCAGGTAATTCCAAAACTATAACCACAATGCTATTTAGAATTTTTAATCACTGAAATCAATACAATGCATGAGAAAAAAAAATGAATTTTGCAAAATTAAATTCTTCTTGGTGTTGTTATTTCTTAAGAAAACATCTGCAAAACATAATAGTCCTCTTTATTATACTCATGTATTAAATTATTAGGTATGTTTGAAATAATTGTTTCAATTCAATTTACAAATGTAACAAATTACAATTTGTGGAAGGTAAATATTTTTATTGAAATGAACAAACAGGTGTCCAGAGATACTGTACAGAATCATACAAATCCCTGATTTTGTGTGCAACACACATACAATTTGTGCCCAGAATGGAATAGAACACACAAGGTGAAACCTGGAATATATAACCAACAGTGCCAGGGCACCATCAAAATTAAAAACTAAAGCTACTTTCAGTCACCCAGCACAGCAACTGGTGAAATAATAATTACAAATTCTTCTCTTGTACCAAAAAAAACTTTAAAAAATCTTACCGGCTTCAATTAAACTCAGATAACACAAAAATGGAAAGAACAGTTACAAGTTGACATGGTATAATATATGTATGTGTGTGTATATATGTACACACACACATACAGATAAACAGGAAATTATATACAAAGAATTGACATGTGAAAATACCTTTGTACTAGTATTCAATCTTGAGATCAGTTCTATCAACAAATAATTTCAGGCTATCTTGAGGAACATTGTTGGATTCATGCTTGTTTTTCAACAGTTTTTTGGTTGAACTTGTAAGTCAATTGACTCACTTAAAATTGTTTTTGCTTTCTCTTTAGAGAAAAGCAAATGGACTTTTGAGGATTATTTAATGTCTAATAATCCATTATCATAGGAAACATAGCATTCCATTACTGTAAGATATGATAAAAAAAAAAGAATTATGAAATTGGTTAAAGATGTCAACAACAGTAAAAGTCTGCCACCATTAATCTTGCTGTCATCTTAGTTAAAATGGCATCACCGAGTCAATGAATGAAGGTAAGCTATACATCTTGAACTATAGTCACAGAACAAAAGTAAAACAAACCGTGATCTAGATCCTTGGGTATTTATTGTTGCAGAAAAATGTTCAATAATAGAACAGTTTTGTGTTAATATGGTATTTGTGTTCACACATTAAAAATCAATAATAACAAAATTAACAGGTAATTCCAAAACTATAACCACAATGCTGTTTAGAATTTATAATCACTGAAATCAATGCAATGCATAAGAAAAAACTAACTTATAGTGAACAAGAAAAAAAAAGGTATTCATGCATGTGTTACAACAAGCAGTGATTCTACAGCACAGTAGATGAAAATAATTAAGAACCTTACTCTTACAACAAGACAGACTAAGGTATCCCAGGTTTTCTGTATATAAGGTCTTCAGTGAACATGCCAAAGTTAAACAGTGTAACTATGAACTGCAGCAACTAAGTATTAATCATTATAGTTTAACAATTATCATTATAACAAACAGTATAAAGATAATAATGATCACAACAGGCATAAATACCACAAATTACCCAATGTGGGGATAAGCTAAAAAGGCGATGCATCAGGTTTATGATGATAAACTTGTTTTTTTTTATGGATAGTTTGATATAACATAAGCACTACCCCCTAAAGAGTTAACATGATTAAATGAGATCTAGCAATGTGAAAATATTATTTTATGCTCAACAGCAACTCGCACTGTATATTTCTACTAAACAAAAAACAAACTAACCTGACATTAGATTCTACTAGAACAAGAAAAGATGTCAAATTAAGACAATTCCAAGATATGGATCACTGACACAACCTTACACTATTAGGTTTCAAAAATTTCTATAGAATTTTACCCATTAGCTTCTGCTTAAAGATATTCGAACTATCATACAGTACATGTACTTACTCTAACATCAGCAGACAGGCAACCACTGAGCAGAGAATCAGCAATAATTTATCTATTGCTTATAATGAGCATTTGTACTTGAACCTTAAGGCTTAACATTAATAACTCATTTACTATTTAACCACAAAGATGTCTGTAAACTCAAAATGAGACATATAGATAAGTAACTAGGTTACTGAAGTTAGCATATAATAACTCACTTTACTGGCCTCTTAATACAAAGTAACTAGAGTCACTTACAACCAAGGTGAAAACATCAACTAGCAGAGTTTTAACTGATGAAAAGTTATGTAATGATCAAGGATAGAGGTATATTAAGAGGATTTTGACATAAAAACAGCTTGAAGCACAACACAAGTAACTATTATTAAAGTGATCTACACTGATCCTAGCCATTCATGATTAACAAGTACTTTTAAAAACTAGTGTTTTTTGTATCATTCATTTGATTCTATATCACCATAAAACTGGCAAAAGAATATACAGAAAACACTTCCAACATAATTTCCATGCATACTATTTCTAATTCATTAAATAAAGCTTATGGTTTTAAATTTGCACACTTCCAATGTGGAAAAATGCTAACATGATTTGTCTCTATAATCAATTATCTACTAACTTCAATCCTACAGAAAAAAAAAAAAGATGTATTATGAATCAAGTGGTTTTACAAGATGTATAAAATATCTTTTGGGTTAAAAGTTGCATGCTTAAATTCATTTCATCTGTCTAGATCTTATTACCAAATACATGCTGTAATGAAAAACACATCAATTATTCATAAATTGCATGCAGACTCTTTTCTTATTCTAAAAATGAATAGCCCCCTGTGAAAAATGCAATGGCAACAAATCTAGCTGTGATTTTGCAGCCCCCACCCCCCATACAAGTTCATCGTGTAATTGGGCACCAACTATTTGCTTTTCTTGCTAGAACCATTGAAAAGTGAAAAGACAAAATGTTCCAAAACAATGCAGAACAGAATCATGTAAAAAGCCAGACTTGATACATTTACTGTGTGAAAAGAGAGCACAAGTACACAGAGAGCTTGTCTACAATGATATCTTCCATAAAAAAAAAGCAAGCCATGCCACAGTTATTCAGTGAAGATCTTCTTCAACAGGCACAGCCCTATCATGAGTATTTGACAAATGTTTGGATAAATAATGCTGAATGGGCATGAATGAAGAATCTACTATGCGGCTTTAAAAAAAAAAAGATGTTTCCTTCTTAACAATTAGCTCTATTTCTTTGATTTCAGTGGAAAGAAAAACTAACTAGGCTTGCATTATTTTTTGTTGAGCAGTTTTAAATGTTTTTTTTTTATATTTCTCTGAGACTAAAAAACAAGCACTATTTAATAGGGTTAGACTAATTAAAATTACATTAAGACCTTTTAAAATCTAATTTCTTATCTTACTGTTGAAAAGCCTGGATTTAATAACAATATTGTTTTCAATATGTATCATATTTGGTGCTCCTTGATGTTTTAAAATTGTGTTTTAGATGTGGTATTAGACATCAAAAACAGCTCTATACAATTATACTAAAAGAAAACTGTTTATATCTGTCAATGAACTACCATAAAATTCACTTTTCACAGGAGACTAAATGAAGCAAGAACATGTGGAACACAATGAGAAATGTCTTTCCTAAGTTTGTTGAACACAAAGAAAATATCTGTTCCAAGAAATATATAGGATTTCATTTACACTCAAGTAAAGCATTTCCAATGGAAATTTTTCCAATTCTTATATATCTTAAGCACTAAAATATTCCTAATACGAAAAAAAAATTGAAAATTTACCACTTCCTAAATCTCAACCTGAGAATACAAGTAAATTTGTCTAAATTCATTACGATACAGCTAAGAAATTCCACAAAAATTACAAGTAATCCATGGTTTTTACTCTTTTGTCTTGAACTTCCAAACATTTAAGTATTTGTGGAAAATACAGTTCTTCAGCTTAGAACTTTGTTATCACATTTCAGACACCACAGTACTACAAGATAACAGCCTAAAATCACAATGAATTCAAGAAAAAAAAAAAAGTCACCTGTAACTTACCTTAGAAAGGTAGTTTAAAATAATAAAACTACAAACTCCTTGTTGCTAATTATCCTACAGTATACAGTCTTTTGGTTAAAAAGCAGTCAAGCAACAACTGGTACCACAAGAAACTACATTTTATCATTTTCCAAACCAATGGATATCACATCCTCTATTGAAAATGGTATGGCAAGCACCAGCATCCATTAGATTTCTGACTACAAACAAAGTCAACAACAAGAAGAGTCAAGTTAGTTCTAGTTTTCTGTACACAACAATTAAAATGAGGGTGGTAGGTGATGATGACTTGGGAATAACTTATTGAGGTCTGGGGGCTTTATTTTCACAAATAGGTATCTTCTAGCTTCAAGATTGTTTGATTCTTTTCCTAGGTGGGCCTATTGGTGGGATCTGTTGAGTAGCTAAAGCTCGAAATGCTTCAGCTATGAGATGAGGTTGTCGATGGATCATTGCCTTAAACCCAGCTGTCTCCAAGACATCAGTAGCATGCCTGGAATAAAAGAAGACCCATAAGTTGCTTAACATCTTATCACGCAAAATCAGGTGTGCTTCTAAACCCTCTAACGTTTGTGTATTACACACCAGTTTTTGCATTACATCACATTTTATTAACATGAATACATTTGGTCAGTACCTCTTAATAATTAATCAAATTAATAATTACATTATTTTTCTTATCACACACACAAACAAGAGAGGCTTATATACATATCATTGATCATATCAAACAGGAATATAAAGAAAACTAAAGATACAAACAAGACTTGTTTTCGATCAACAAAATCTGAAGGATAAGAATGAACAAAAATTAATTTAAAATTGCTGCCTGAAACCTTTAGACAGCATAAAGTAAGAAGTTAGTATTGAGATCTACATCTTACTTGCAGAACATTAATAAAGGATTATAAACAAAACTAACTACTTAACTGAATAACAATCTATGCCACTTTGAGGTATACAAGAAAAATAGTACAAACTTTCAAGTTATTAAATATAACTGTAAACATAATTAATATTTTTATCCAAAAATATACATCTGTAATGATTAAACTTCAGTGTTACTTAAAAAAATATATATATATACTTGGAACAAAATTCATTGTCACTTAAAAAAATTTATATACTTGGAACAAAATTCATTGTCACTTAAAAAAATTTATATATTTGGAATGATTAAACTTTAGTGTTACATAAAAATTTATATATTTGGAATGATTAAACTTTAGTGTTACATAAAGATTTATATATTTGGAATAATTAAACTTCAGTGTTCCTTAAAAAGATCATATATTTGGTATGATTAAACTTCAGTGTAACATGAAAAAAAAATATATATATATATTTACCATTTCAGTTTGTATACCCTTTGTATAAAATTATTTGTGTTGAACTACCAATAATGTCCTATTTGTAACAATAGCTTTCATTATTTTTGTGTAAAATAACTTGCATATTGGCAACCAAAAACTATGTCAAGTTCAATACATTTGGTTTTCACTATATAAAATAACTTACGTATTGATAAAGTCAATGGCATGAGCCTTCAACTGCTCTGCACTATGCATATCAGCCAGTGTTAAAACATCAGCAGCTGTTTCCACAGATAGATTTGAACACAATGCTTCCTCACACATTACTTTCAGTCGCTCTAGAGCATACTGAAAATGAAAAAGCTTTAACTAAACTGAATAAAAACATTTTTGGAATATTAAAACTTTTTATGTCTAACACTAGAATACATTACAGTACAAAAAGTGCTCAACCACATCTGTATCAGTTTATGTAACTGTAAATTATCAAATATTCCTTTTTTAAATATATCACAGAAAAAGAACCTATTTTTCAAAAACATAATGAGAAATTGAAAATGTATATAATTCCAAGAGTTTATCTTTTGTTAGAACTGACCACAAAAACAATTCTGAATTTTCAAAAACATTGTTTTAACATTATAATAACTGTATAAGTATACGTACAATCTCAAATTCTTCACTAGCAGTAAAATTAAAGAAAAAAAGAAGAACAGATATTTAGAAAATAAACATTAAATACTTCACAGTAGAGCCGAGTGACTAACTCAATGTAAATGATTACCTATGAGCATCAATTAGTGTTATGTAAAATCATCAATTTACCAAAATTGAAATTCAATTGGTTAACTTCAATAAATAACCAACTAATCAAAATTAGTGTTTCTGTTTACTACTATTTTCGATTATTCCATCCAGCCAAGTAATCGAAATATTGCCATTTCACTTAATTCAAAGTTGTTCAGCTTAATCCAATAGTGTTTCTGATTGTTCCTTTCAGTTATTTCAAATATCTAAGTCTTGTGTGAATAATCAAATAATAAGACAGACAATTAATCAATTATCAAATTCCACTAATCACCTAGCTCTACTTTACAGCATGTGTAATATGTATACACACCTTATCTGCTGCAGCCAACAAGTCATCTGCCATCTTTTCTAGATTTGGAGCTTTCCCCGTATAAATAAAACGCAGCATCTCTCGTAAAACCTCATGGTCCATATCTGTGATTTCCACTCGATTCTTTGCAACAAAAAATAACGTATGATTCAACAATTTTATAATTACACTAAAAATATTTTCTATGGAATTCATTAAAAAAATTTTATTACAAAAGTCCATTTTAAAAGAAGTAACATAAAACAAACATGCACACAAGCATTTTTATGTATACCTTATAAGTATCACTTTGAACTCCTAATTAAATATTCAAATTTGTTTTTGGTCTATATATCAAAAATTGGAAGGGGAACAAAATGATTCAAAAGTTTGAATTATTTTCTTGATGGAAGTAGTACCACTCTTCAAAAAAAACTCACTTTTTAGTTGTTGCTTTGGTATTCATACAAGTTATTAGTCAACTAATTTTAGTTTAAGCTTATTTATCAATACCTTTAGACTTTTATCAATGGGTATCTTGACATTTAACTAAGTTACTATGTTCAAGCCATTAAAGTTCTAGAAAAACCATATGCATCATTAATACATAATGAATTGTGCAAAACACTTTAAAAAAAAAGCAAAAATTCAATATGTACAAATAAATTAAGGGTGGTTTTTAACTATGATTTCCTTTTCTACCTGTACTACTTTTAATTTGTGTTGTTGTTTTTTTTTATTATTAGGTCTGATAAGTGGAATATCCCCAATGGTTTTGGGAAATACTGTTGCAGACACTTTTCTTTAAAATTTATATTTTTTGTACCTTACTGACAAATTTTTTTTATTGTTTTGTGTTACTGGTGTCATAGTGGAACGATTCTATCTATAATTTATTTGAATTGATTTTAGCTAAAATTATAATTTTCAATCATACTGCAAGGGGCAATATAGTACTGAATTTTTGCCTATATATTCTTGATACAAATAACAATTTAGCTATTTTTATTTATTCATATGAAAAATAATGATAAGGTGCCAATTTATCACCCTTTCCTCTTTTCCTTCCTTTCTTTAAGATTCATTTGTCTACCAGTTCTAAGCCTAACTAGCTAGTTATCAGGAATTTAAATATGCTATGTCCATTTATAGATTTAAAAAAAAATACACGAAATAATTCCAGCTGTAATGGATTATCAATATTTCTTTCATATTAAACCATTATGTAAAGTAAACAATGTAATTTATTTATATGTGCTCTATTGAAATAGACCATATTAACATTCACTTTTTCTAATGTTAAAATTACTATTTGTGAACGTATTGATAGAACATGAAAAATTTTGTTTTGAAAGAAAAAAATAACAACTTTACCAGTGATTTTCAAAATAAAATGGCTGAATCTTTTAAATAAAACTATTTGAATAGTATGTTAATTTCAGATTGACATTTATAACATTAAACAATTAAAAAAAAAACAGTTGTACACAAATTAAAATGGATCAATTTAATAACTTTTATTAATTTCAACCGTGTTTTTGATAAATATACTTACATTTTGAATGTTTTCATGAAAAGAATCTTCAAATCAAATTATGCAAATATATTTATCAAAATGAGTTTTATATTTCAAATTTAGAGATATTCACATTAAATATCCTATTTTGAATATAATTAAATTTAGGATTAGGTGAAAATGGGATAACTTTCCATTTCATAATAACATTAAATTAAAGAATAAAAATATCTTATATTTAGTACATTGTAAACAAAGATTATGATATATTCTATCCTCTGTAACTCACAAAAGTATTCAAGAAGAAATATTTCCTATCAAATCATTATAACCTACAGTTAGTTTCAAATATAATAAACCAACAAGATCTCTTCTTTATAATAACAATGTTTATTGAAGAAACTGTATTAATAATTTATCTGATTCTTTTCATAACTGTATTATCACAGGTAACTTAGATAAAGACCTCATAACAATATGCCAAATTCATAATTAAAAAAATGAAGATAAAAACTGAAATAATTAATGTTTGGAAAAAAAAACGATGATTATTAACACTTGACACAAGAGCTAGCCCAGCATCTTTTAGTACCTAAGCCTAACATGGTCAACAAGGGGGTCATTCTGGAAATTGAAGATCAAGATCTTATTTCAATAGATCTTGATGAATGAAGCTTTACACAACTTCTAAAATGAAAACAAAACACTAAATATTAATGAAATGACAAAATCTAAATAGATCATACAAGTGCTTCTCAAACTGTATTTAGTAATGTAAATTTATTATCAATTTAATAAATTTCAAATTTGATTTATTTTCTCCTTGATACACAGTGTAACAGTTATTTCTGCCTGTCTTAATCAGGGGGAGTGCCACTAGGCCTGTCATACAGACTTATTTACATGTGCCGCAAAAAGTTTATGACATTAAAAGTGTGACGCGAGCTGAAAAAGTTTGGGAAGCACTGGATTATATTATGGTGTTACCATACTAAGCATTATACCATCCTTTTTATATTGCAGAAATGGCATTTTTAATTTGAGAATATCTAGGGAAATCATCTTGTGTTGTGTATCTGCTTCTACATCAACACTACATCTTTGGGCTTCACAAAATATTGAAACTAATGATTTCTTGTATATGATTCCAATCCCCCTTTTTGAGGATAACAATACTATTGTGCTCGTTTTTTTGTTATGTTTTGCTGTCAATACAGTAATAAATTGATGAATCTCTAATTCAGCTGGTATATCAAATTGGTTGGGATATCTTAAAATAAGTTCATGATGTTAGAAAAACACGGAAGTTCAAGAAATCTCGATTAAAATCAATAAAACCCTATAATGCAAGCACTTTCAAAAGGTGGACCTTTCAAAAGTGGTTGGGTTATAAGGTTTTTATTCATTTCAAATAAGTTCTTCCTCATCCAACCTGGACCCATGATTTAACTTAACTGCTACACTTAAACCATCACATTCACAACCATATCTAGAAAATTGCAAAATGAGCCATTCCTACATCACTATACTTGTTATTTACAAGCGAATTTCTCCATTTTGGCTCTCAATGTCTCAGGTCTGATCCAGTGATCTAGACCTCAAAATAGTGCTAAAAATCTTCTTTTTGTCTAATCAAAACAAGTCAAACCTTTTCAGAATAACTCATTTTTTAAGATCCACAACAAGATGCCAGGCTGGCTTGTGTGGCAGGTATTAAAATTTGTAAAACAAAATTGTCTATCCTCTCTGTCTCTTTTCCAAATGAAAATCATTTGTTATTAATGCTAAAAAAATTTGAAACAAAAAGTTAAAATACATCAAAACATAATTACATAATTAATTTCATACTTTTAAAAGCAAAGTTAGAAAAATTCAAAAACAATGTTATTACCCCAATCAGTAAAGCAAATTTTAATTTTGTATTTATATTTGAAAACATTTTTGCAAAAATTCTAATTAATGAAATCAATCCAACTGCAATACTTACAAAAAAAAAAGTACATTAAGTAAATAGCTTTGATATTCCCAATGCTCTTGGGAGCCATTGTCACAAACATTCTCCTTCAAAATTTTATCTTTTGGACTTTCCTGACAGATGGTATAATTTTTAATTATCTTGTTTAGTGAATGTGTTAATGGCATGATAGTGGATGTATTCTATTTCGATTCATTTTTGCTAAATATTGTCCTGAATTTTACTTTTAAGACTTTGGTTTTCTTTTATATAAAGGAGCATACAATACACAAATACATTTTGAAAAAAAAAACAATACTGTTTCTTATCATATCTACTGGGGTTTATAATTAAAAATATATATATAAATAATGTTACTTTTTTTGTGGTGTCATATTTAGCCTAATTTGATATTTTCAGGGAAATATGCACAATACCACAATATTGTTTGCCCTTTTCTCACTCTACATTTCTAGATTTCTTAAAAATCTGGTTTGTTACCCAAACTGAGTTTTATTTAATCATGCTCTTATCTTATTAAAAGTCACAATATAATCAACTTGAAGTATGGCTAAATGGGCTGTAATGATGGCTCATGCTCATGTTGTACTTTAAGATTATAAGTTGACTAGACATGAATACTTTTTTTAAGATTGTTTTCTACGGTTAAAAAAAAAGAATTTTTTGAAGTATTACATAATACTCCCAGCAGACCAAGAAGAATTTGAAAATTAAAAAACCCTGTCAAATTGACTTACCAATTACTAAAAAATTAAATATATATAAGGAGGTTAACATTTAATCTACCATGTTTTTTTTTATTCAATGAGTAACAAAATAAAATCCACATATACATTAATATTCAAGCAATTCTTAAAAAAAAAAAGTACTATACACAGAAAAAAAAACATATTTGTTCAAATACACCCATAGATTCAAGATATCCTTAAGCTAACCATACAATAAAATTGAAATTATCAAAATTCTAACCGAGGTTTAGCTTAGAACTTAAAATTTGTACATGCTTCAAGAGCAAAAAAACTACTAACCTGCTTTTTTTCTTCCATTTCATGTTCAAACATAGCAGCGAAAACAGGCGATCGAGCTAACAAAAACAGAATTGTTTCTTAAATTTTGGAACAAAGTTTTCTTCCTCAGTTATCATGTAATTACAAAATCATCTTAAGTAACTTTTAACACAATAGTAACAAATCTACAAAGATATTTCTAGCCTGACAGCAAACATAAACTTACAAAATTGAAATAAAACCTTAATGAAAGAACCACAAAACAAGTTTTAGGATGACTTCATCAGTATCTTTTTGAACGTAAATATAAACAAATATTCATATTTATTTTTAGTGTACATTAACAATACCCGTGTACATAATTCATGAAACTGCTCGCCCATGTTTATTAAAATATTATATGTACAGCACATGCAAAACATTTTACTCTGAGCCTGGAAACTGATTTTCTATATTATACTAAGATTTACAAAAAATAATATACCTTATAAAAGAAAAACTCAATCTTAACTCGGGGTTCATAATATCTAAGAAATAAATTTTATCTATAATCAGAACAATGAGAAAAGTAACTTTACATGCACTGTTTATTCAATAATTAAAAGACAATTCTTGGTTGTAAGGTTAAACATGGTCTTAATTTGAGGTTAAAAAAATCTATTTTAAAGAAATGTTGTTATGCAAAAGTTCAGATACACACAAAGAGCAATGGTTTCACTCACAACCAATGAATATACTATCTCGTATTCTTTTCACATTGCACATGAATTAAGTCAACTACCCTCATCCGAAAATCACTTCATGGCTAGCTTTGGTATTATCTCCCTCTTCACAAATATACCTCTAAATGAAACTATTGATATTTGTATATCTGAGCTTTCACATACCAACATTTCTCTAAATAGATTTTCTGAACTTCAAATTAAGATAACATTCAGCCTTACAACCAAGAATTCACATTTCATATTTAATAGCACCTTTGTTAAAGGACAGTCATATCCATAATATTCATATAACTTAAATATATATTAGTAACTATAAAGAATACATTTATTAGTGTAGAATGACACAAAACAATTGCAATAGTGGCAATAAATTATAAATTTAATAACTACATTCAAATGTCTTCAACAGTAAATTGTCAATACAAAGTGTCATGAAATAAAACAAATATCTAGAAACGGAGCAATGTTTTTCAACCACTAGTCCATGGGATTTCATGAAAATAAACAAAAACTGACACAATATCATAATGGTATTTTAATTCTACTTGCATTTTAGTGATCTCTAACATCTTAGGAGGCAGCGCACTGGTCCCTGGTATCATAAAGGTTGAGAAACACTGACATAGAATAAATTGCCATATTACTCATTTAATTTAACACTACGTCTAATTCTTCAGGCCTTGCAGCTTACATTACAGGTTTTTGACAACTTCTTTCAGTTGTGCTTATTTATTTTGCGACATATGAAAAGAAAATCTGTGCATGATTAAATTGACAGGTTAAGAGTGAAAAGAATTGAAATGAACATGGAATGTTTTGCTCAAATTAGCAGTAATAACAGTAGAGACTGTTGTGAAACATTTAATTCCTAAATCAAATGCCCTGAGAAAATCATTTTTTTTCCCTATTGTTTCCTTTCTTCATTCAAATAATGCTGATTTTTCTGTTTACCAACAGAAACAATTCTATAGACAAAATGATGTGCTTCACACCATCCACACCTTCCAGATGATCATCGATTACTGAGTAATCAGAATATGTTTCTTCATATTTTCTAAAATTATCTCATTGTTTACCAAAAACCACAGAAGCCTTTCCCCGAGAAAGTAGCAGAATCTTTTGGACAAGAGCCCAAAGATCTGCCCACCCAGTTTCTGTTGCAGAGCATCATATAGCAGTGTGTCCAAATGGCATGAAATTAATATTAGCCAAATTCTCATCAGAGAAGCTCTTGAACTCGTTTATGCGAGTCATTACACATCTCCATTTTGACATGTTTTACCTCAGTTATGATTTACAATGTCCTTTTCAGTTATACTAGATTCAGGATATTTTCAATGGATTCATCCATAATAAATGTCTGATTAATCCATACTGGATTGATGACTTTTTTCAAGCAACTTCAGAAGAAATTTTGCTGATAAATATCTTCTTATCCATTCTGACAGCAAACATATCCTTCTCAGAAATGAATTTTGTAGACTGCAACTTCTTTAACCAAATGGACATTGGACTGAGATTGTACCCGAGAAGGAATGTTGACTATAATTCCTAATTTACTTCATATATCTATATGACATTACATACATTTTCAAAACTTTCCTAACTTTGTATGAACCCTTTAAAGTAAACTAACATGTCAGTTACCTTTAGCACAGGAGAAAACAAACTAAAACAGTATACTCTTAAGAAATACAAAAGTACATACATTTTTTACAACTATAATTATAAATATATTACAAGATGATCTAACCCAAAACTAATACAATATGCAACAACTTACCAGCTAAAATTGCTTTGTGCGCATAGAACTCTCTACCATTAACACTGAGAATGACATCACTGAATTTCTGACTATCAAACAGCAAACCTAGATCATCTGGGAGTCGACACTCAGGAACCTTAAACTGTATGGCACTGTTCTGCCCAGAAATGTTCACAGAATCAGCTACTACACTTACCTGCAAACAAATAACAGCATGAAGCTCACAAACGTACAGTATTAGAAAGACATTTAACAAAAATGAAATGGGTCACATAATTTATGTATAATATTAACTGTGAAGATTACTCAATATTTCTCCAATTTCACTAGGTTTTCCAGAACCTTACCAGTTACCAGCTTACTTCTTGCCTGATTATCAGCAATCAGTTTGTGGTATTATTAGTGATTGTTTTTATGATACAAATATAATACACCTAACTTTGTAATTAATACAATTAATTTACTTTTCTGATTACAATATTCAATTACTAGACACACCTTTAGTTAATGGATAGATTTAAGATAAGGAAACATTTGCCTTCCTTAACTAGAACAATGTTTTTCTGTGTGTATTAATTGAGTGAATATAAATATATTGGAGAGTTTTCTATGCTCAAGTATTGCTGCATTGAAAAAAACGGCAATAACATTGAAGTAAAGTTTCACGTTAATGCTACAGCTTACAAAGTCGTGGGTTATAATGTATTCAAAATTATAAAAAATTATATTAATAGTATACAAAGAGAAGTAATGCTATTTTGAGACTAATACGCACATAAATACAAGACAATTGTTTCTCACAAAATAATTTGATTCTTCTTCTTTGCTCTTCCCCAATATATAAACAATAAATTAAACCTAAAAATTTCCTTTCACTTGTATACAAAACACACAATACATATTTACATTTACATATTTGATGATGGTTGAAAGACAAAAATAAACACTATAACCCAAGCACTTTTCAATGGTAGACCTCTCTTCAACAGTTTGCTCTTGTTAAAGAATGTTCTATCTTTAAAAAACTCTCAGGTTATAGGGTTTCTTATTTTTGTGTTTCATTTTCTGTTCACCAATTCTAAAACTGTAAACCAAATCCTGTATATATCACAACTGCCTCAAAATTACAATATACCCAAAAAGGACAGATACTTCATTAATACGAAATGTCCATCATGCCAGGGAATGGAAGAAAAAAACCAAATCTTTCTTTCTATCTGTTTAGTATAAACATTCACTGAACCACACACTAATCTCTTCACATATAAATTATTATAATACTTTACTATTTTTTAACCCAAAAGTATCACATTCAGGCTAACATTCACAAAATTACTATATTTTCTAGCAACTTTACCATATGAAACCATTTCTTTTTTTCTCTACTTAACGTATTTTTTGCTTTTACAAAACCTTTATCTTGCTTGCATTTAAGATGTTCTCTCTTATTCATCAATTCCTAATTTATCATGTTCAAAGATCATTCTACCATGTTTAGTATTCCTTATTAATAAAAATATAGTAGCTGGAACAAACTTCCTTTAACTTAATTACTAAAATAAAAAAAAGATCATGTGAAATGAATTCTCAATTACAAATATTATTATTCCAATATCTGTGTCACAGAAGTTTAACTATACAGACAAATATTTAATATCAAACTTTTTGTATACAACAATTAATACATTATATACAACAAGTATTATTCTACTGACCTCACAGTATAAAGTGAGTTTGTCATCTGGCAAGAGACCATTTGCTTCATCTAATAAGAAATCTCTTCGTATAAATTTTTTAAAACCCCAGTCTTTTCCTTGGACAAACCTGTATGCACGTTGACTTTCTGTAGCATATAGAACATGAAGAAATTTAGACAGGAACATTCTAACATGCACATACAAACAAACACATGTCATCTTTCAATATAGATTCAATAAACTCTATTTAAAAGTTCATATAGCACTTGTGTTTCAATTAAAACAAATCTTCATTGTCTAACAAAGCAGAGATTCTTACAGAACTGAGCACCCAATTTAATTATTTTTCTATGTATATAAATACGACTAAGGATTCTTTGTTTGAATTTTTGTTGTATTTTAACCTACAAGTTCACAGCATCATAACTGAAAATTAAAAAGGCCATCTCCTATACCTATTTGACTTTCAATAAAAAACCTTATAACAAATGTAAAAAATTCCACGAATTAATAAGTATTTGATAAATGCAGTCTGTTTAGTGTACTCTGATCTTAAGTTACTAAATAATTCATATTTTAAGTAATTTCCAACTGATATAAAAGCTATATAAAAAATTCTTATAAAAAGTAGAATTTCAGACAGTGAGTGTTATAAATGTAAAAAAAAACTAAAGACTTGACAGTTTCTAGTAATACTAATAGAAAAAAGAGCCTCAACTTAAAATGTTTACAAATATCTTAAACTTTAGTATTTGTTTGTTGTTAAGCACAAAACTACACAATGGGCTACTATCTTTTTGGTGCCCACCAAGGGTATCATAACCCAGTTTATAGCATTATAAGCCTTCAGACTTACTGTTGAGCCACTTAGTAAATATCATTTATGATTTAATAAACGTGATAAAACTTACACGTAAAACTTCTTTCTGAAACCATTAAGTAACATTCAGATACTTATAAGCAGGTTTGATTGATGAGGAAATGGAATTTACCCATAGCTTTGGTTTCCTCTCGTTTTGCATTGAGAATTGAAAACTTGAATTTTGCTCGTACTTCACTCTTGTTGCAGGAGACTAGCAGAAGGTAAAGTGATAGGTAGTCTTTACTTTCTTCATCAAGGCCTTTTGGATTGACTCTTAAGCACCTAAAATCACACAGGTTAAGTCCAGCATTTAGTTTCACACAATACATTCTTTATTACAGGACTAAAGCCATTTTTTTTTAACTTGCAATGAACTGTAGAAGTATGTAAAATGTAAGAAGTAAAATGTTTGTGTGTGTGTAGTTACAATATAACCCTGGGAAAAAACATCACAAAGATAAAACTAATGCATAGACAATAAAATGATTTCATCACTCTTCAAAAAGTGTATTTCAAAAGATACCATTAATATGTGGCTATAAAATGAACAAGTCACTAGAACAGTATAATTAATTGCAAAGTACAGTTGATATGTGATGAATAGTATATTTATAAAGGAAAACCAGAAATACTAAAGCTAAAAAACTGAAAACAATTGTTTTTTAGTAGACTTGTAGTAGTGTATTATTGGATTTGTACCTTGAAGATTATTTTAAAAACACCACACATTAAAATAGATATTGGTTTCCACAACTATGAATTTAATACTGCTACGTTTGTGTAGTAGTTGTAATTCCTTAATATTGACTTCTAAAGATTACAATCTAGTTTCACAGAATGTAAAATGTTACTCAATAAAGTAAAAGGTGGAAAAGATTGGCATTATGACATTATTCATCAGAAGCTTAAATGCTCTATTTCGATACAGACATATTTCAACAAATGTGTACTGTTCTAAATACACAATATTTAAATTTCATAGTTTTCTGCTGATAGACTGGTGTACCTTTAAAATTCAACAGTTTTTAAATCAAATTATAAAGTCAGCCTCATCTACAGACTACCTTTTTTGATCTATTTCAGATTTTACTGAATCTCAAAATATCTCAATTTTCTGGATGTATTTTAACCTTCTAAAAAGATAACTGAAATAAGCAACTAAGAAATAAATGTCTTTCAGTATCAAAAAAAGTATCATAAAGCACATTTTTCAAGAAAAAAAATGCTTAAATCTCTGTCTAATTTCCAATTTAATAGGTTTACATCATACATTTTTTTAATTTCATCTATAAAACTTATCAATCATGAGATACTGTATATGTACAGTAGAATAAAACTATTTGGCCATCTGTCATTAAAAATCAGAGAAATTCACTGCTGGCATGTGATCACTAAAGGTCTATAAGAATGGGTTAACGTATGAATGCATAATGATTGTGAAGTTATACAAGCATGTTAGAAGTAGTATCAAACTAGACACTACATAGACCTTTGATACAATTTTTAATATTAGCAGTTGATCTTTGAAACTAAGTAAATTTTAAGTTTTAAAGCTAATCTAGAAATATAACAACTGCAATTTGTAAAGAAATCTTAATGACATGTTTTAATGAACAAAAAAATTCTTATGCAAAGGATAAGAGAAACATACTGTGCTTGTCTGATCACACTACATTTCTTTAAGCTTAAAAAATTTTGGGTAACTTTCTTTAAATGTTTGTCATTCCAATTTTTAAAAAGATTTTAAGTATTAGTCTTTTTACTATGCCAAATTTCTTAACTGAAAAAAAACAAACAAAAAGAAATTGCTAACAATATGGATTTAATGCTCGATGCACCAAAACTGTTATCAAATGTTTTCATTACAAAAGGAACAAAACTTTTGAAGCTTACATAAATTAAATATGCAGTTCAAATACAATTTAAAATAATATCTTTACAGACGTGTTCATTTACCATCTAAGCTTGTCATTTGCCCCAGCAGAAAATGTCGAACTTTTCAAAACTTCACCCATTTCTTCTCGACAGAAACTAAAGTTGTTGATTGTCCACATGTATGAGAACTTGATCACCTTCATCTAATAATAAAATGTACTTCTTCACTTGACACACTTTATAATTAACATACATAAATACAAAAACTAACAGCAAGCATACTCACATGTATCTTCCATTATCTGGATGTAAAACTATTATTATGTCAAGGTTCAGAAGTTGTGGATCAGTCTGGTACCAGTTTTATAAACACAGGTAAACATTTCTCAACACAGTTTGTATTTTAGTGTGAATAAAGGTTGTTACAATCACATCTGTATTATAAACACTAAATAATTATCTCCCTTGTTTAGAAATTAATGCATCCACAAATAACACCCGTTTCAAGAACTTTTCACAAAATAAAATGTTTTTGGACATTTTCTTCAAACGTTACTAACATTCATATTCAAAACAACTTAAATTTTTTACTTGGATTTTGTTATATCAATTTAATTTATATTCATATATACAAACTCCTATATTTACAGTCATGTTTAAGTAATATACTGAGCATTTCATTTGTTAATATGCCAGATACCTCTGTAGCTTACTGTTCTTAAAACATCAACATTCAAAACCTTCAGATACAAACTTATCTCAGTAGATTTTACTGCTATCAATGACCTTAACATTCATATCATTCTTGTGAATTAAGAAAATACACAATAAAGTTAAACCAGAATATACTCTCGAAGTGTTCTGAAAGCTTAACTTGTATCATTTGGAAAGCAGGCTAGTTTTGTTTTTATGTAATTGTGATATATCTGTTTATTTCATACATAATCTTTTACTGCTAGAGTATTCTTTCACTAAAAAGATTTAACATTGGGTACAAACAGCTGGTCAAACTAGAGCCAAGCCTATTACAAACAATGAATTATCTTGTTTAAGATACAAAGTTTACATTTTAAAAGAGCAGCATGAAACGTACAATGCAAAATCTGATATCTATGAAAAGTAAATACACAAAATATTACCATAACAATAGACCATGCCCAGGCAAGCACAATTCCTTGGCCCAAGAGGTCTTTAGTTAAATTTGGTCAAAAGCTTAGTTTTACAGACCTACTAATGATGTTTTCTGTGAACCGTAAATATACAATCAAATATTATAAGATGAATCTGTGTGTTTTGAAAATTTTAAAAGACAAACTGTTATATTATAACATTTAAGTTACATGTACTATTCATTTTGGTCACTGCAAGAAATGGATATGTCAGAGAAATAAAAAACACAGATGAACATGTATATTTTATTATTCACCAATTTATTTACACAAATAATAAATGTTTTCTTCATAAGTACTTGTTTTTCATAAAGTTTAATAGTTTTGATTTACATCATTAGTGTTTTTTATATAAACATATCTTAGCTATTATACTTCTAAAATGCATGTTGACAGTTAGGCTTACATATGCACAAAATGCTGAAAAGCACATCAAGTCGTGACAGAATGAGCAAACAATGCAAGAATTTCTCATTGGGTCAGCAAGAATCTCAGAGGAAAGGTTTACACACTAGAATAAAACCTCAACACAAACAAGTGTTTATACACATAAAAAGTTAACATTCTAGATATAACAAGTCAAATTTACCTTTTGTAGTAAATTAGGATGCAATTTTTTAAATGACAGTCAGAAAAGCAAATTCACAGGCAAACCTCTGTGAAGGCAAATGGTAACCTATTTCTGGCCCAAGATGTAACTTTAATGATTATTCTTAACATTTACTGAGTTATAAGAAAAGTTTAAACAAAAAAGTATTCATTAATTCAGTACAGTCACAATACAAACTTCTCAGCCTCTCCTATTTACTTAAAATACATTTCTTCATGTGCTTTTAAATTAATGCAAATTATGTCATTAAATTCATGCTTCTTCCAATCTCTCAACAGCTAATGTACCAAGAAGTTAGAATATAAATGTGAGCAATCAAACATAGAAATCTCTGAATCAGTCAGTTTGTACCTCATAGAATACCACAACTTGTAGTTGCCTAGTGAAAAGCAAGTTTAGGTTTCTTAAGCAATCTCAGCAAAATGCAAGGTAGCAAAGCTATCTGTGTGTCAGATATCAGTACAGTGGCTAAAAGATAAAGAAAATTAACAAGTCATATAATTAGTCATAAATGGGTTAATTTTTAAGGGTGCACCAATTTTCCTGGCCAATACCAATATTTAGTAGTATTAATGCAGGTAAGGTGTTTTAAACCACTGAAACAACTATGAGTAACCTACATGTCATTTTTGTTTCTGGTTGCATTTGTAACAAAATTTACAAATCGTATTTACAGAGTGCATTTATTTCAGAAAACGAATAAGAAAATAACAGTCATAAAGAAGTTTTAAAAAATACTTTGCATCAATGGTTCTAGAAAAATTTAGCAAAATAAACACACACACATATATATATATTAATTACTGACTTGTAATTAACTTTCATTAGTTTATATTATAATCTTTATACATGTAAAAATAATTATTAACTTCACCACAAAGTCAGCATAAAACTGTTCAATTTGTTTTACAAAATGCTGCCTGACATCTTTGTTACTTCATAGAACAATCGACTTTCAGCTTTAAAATACAAATAAGAAGGGAGTAAATCTAGCATGATGATGCAACCTCAGCCACAACCATGACGACAGTGCTTTGCATTATTCATGTCCATTACCTTTGAATTATGACATTAAAAATTACAATTTTAGTGTATTTGTAAAAATCTTATTATTGAAGAGTTGCCTTAAATTAACATCCAAATGTTCAATTTTGATGAACTAACACAAAGACATTACTGTACTATTTTAACAAGTTTATAATATAACAAAATCAGTATTCAGAATACTTTACAACATTAAAGTTGATGCCCATTGTACATGGCCATGGTGAAAGTTAGGTAATGACGGCCACTTTGACAGTCATATGAAAAATGAAATTTGAGCAACAATTATCACAGTACTCTATAGAGATAAAAAATATATATAAATGTACATTATTGGCTAAAACAACAAAAATGGCCAATAGCAAATAATGTAATTTTTACTTACATGGGTGTCAGGCACATGGCCTAACAATATATCAGTGCACCCCTAGTTTATTTCCTTGCACAGTTTTTTGTTGTTGTTTTTTTTATACAGGGTGTTACCAGTTATTTAAAAAACTGCTTACTTGTGTTTCACAGACAGAAGCCTTGAACATCTGCTACACTGACTACTAGAATTCCAGTAGACCTTCAGTAGTATGTTGTAGCATGCATGCATTACCATAGCAGTGAGACAGTGTAACATGGGTCCAACAGAAGTATCAACACATTCCAAAAAGTTAATAAATTTCTTAAGTATTTTCAAATACCTTGGATATATCATAACTGTCAGATATCAAGTCTGAAAAACATAACAGAGCTGTACATTCTAGGTTTTTTCTCTGTATTTTTTGATTGAATATCATCCTCACATTTTGTGTGACACAAATAACAGTTTTCACCTTCTTTGTTAAGCTGTCAGAAGTATAAAAAATAACCAGATAAATAGAAATACTGAAACTTTATCATTTCTCCATATTTAAACCACTCAATGTAAAATATGATTTGAAAAGAGCAAAGCTTGGAAATTAAATATTTATATATATATATATATATATATATATTTATTTGAAGTTCATATTTTACATTCACAAATGCCATAAAACGTTTAAAAGCTAAAATATCAATGATAATCTTAACTTTTCTTCAATAGAAAAGTACCTATGTAAAAAGTCCAAAAATTATGGTACAAATCACTTCAAGGCTCTTGATGTAAGTGTAATACTATATTCCTTTTTAAGAAAGTAAACTCTGGACTGATGTACTAGAATTAACAAACAGATCATAAAAACTCACAAGCTCTTATGTTCCCTTTTTAAATACTATATTCAACACAATTTACACCTTAAAATGTGTGAAAAGTTCATTCATCTACCTGAGAGCCCTAAAAGCACTGCTGTAATTATATTGCATATAAAATATATTTTATTTTATGAAACAGCAGTAACTCCATAGACCAAAGAAATCAATTTTAATATGTATTGAGTAACTTAACCTACTGATCAAACACTACTAGAACTTTAACAGAACAACTAGATAAATACTGATGTTATGGAATATAGTATTCCAAAACTAGAACTTAACAAAGGATCACTGACACAGTCATAGAACTTATAAGCCTAAAATATCTAATAAAATCTTTCACAACTTTTTCCTTTGACTAAATCAAACACAGCTAAATTTTTTCTTCCATTTTTAATACAAGGATGTCAGTAACCATAAACTCCAAAGAAATAGTACAACCCTTTTCAATTTGTAAAGACTGTTGAGATTTACTGTTTAGTAAATAACAAAAAAACTGTCATTTGCTAGTTGGAATTAATCATTTTTGGTATTTTTTCCAACCATTTACTTAGTTGTTCAGACCTAGCTGCAGACTAGTTCAGTGAGTTGCTCATGGGTTTGAGATAACTACAATGTACTGATAACATCACATACATATTAGAAATATTGATATTTCATTGATACTTAATAAGAAAAAAAGGTTAATCTTACTAAAAACAAGTGTCGTACTTCTAACTAATACCAATTTTCCACATCAATCTAGCTAATAATCCACCCACATGCATTGTGTAGTCTGGCTTTTTGTACCGTGTGGGAAGTAACAAATGTGTGCTTTCATACATACTAAGGCATTAGTGAATGAGAAAATAATTATCATTATCACGGATATTAGGCTACATGATTAAGTCTAATTAGGTATGATTTCAAGAGGGGTATCCAGGTTTTGCTAACTTTTATGGTAGGTTGACTGAGCATGTTATCAGTTAAATGGATATAGGAAGTTTTCTTTTATCTTCATTTTTTTTCTAGTGTGTGATTCATAGCCAATTATTTTAGTATTATTACATTTAATTATATGTTTTTTCTGTGTACTGTTGATAGGGGTGAGCTCATGGCTAGGCCACATACCCATATACATTTCAAAGATAATACTGGCAATGCAGCTGCTCTACGACTC